CATGTCAAATATAACTATTCCAGAAATGGTCTATGGGAAGAAAGAGCTGTGGTTTGCTTACACTTGACAAACTGGCTTTATTCCCTCTTGGCAAATATGAGAACAGGCTCATCCAGTTTCATCTGAAATGTTTTGTTTTCCTCTCAAGCAGTAATGGTAACACTATATGTGAGTTCACAGTCAGCTGTTAACCAAAAAAGCCTCATAAATATCAAACTATCCATCAAAATTACACTTTTCGATTATGTATGAATATAACTAAATATTGAGAACAATAAACATCTTTCTTTTAAACAGAACTAAGTCAAAATCCATAGCATTATTATAATATTGTTTCTAATATTCCTGAAACCACATTATTAACCTGAGCTTAATGATGTACCATTTTAAACAACTGGAATCTTATATCAACTTTCAGCTCTTTGAATAAAAAACTGGTAAACATGTTACAGGTGAGATGGCTTTAACCAGACACAGCCTTCTAGAAACATAAAATCTGCTTTTGCCAGTTACATTTCATCTGCTTCCACAGTTGTCAGATACCTAATCAGATAATGTTGTATTGGGTGGGAATATCTTGGAAGCTAATTCATCATGACCTACTGAGTGAACAAACAAGCATGTGCACACACAGGCGCACACATACACACCCTACAAGAGCTACAACACTTGAATCAGTTACACATTAACAGTGCAGAAAACTGGAAAGAAAAATCCCTCAACTTCTCCATGGCTACTTAAGAAAGTGCAAAGAAATGTCCTATCACTTGGTTGGTTTACTCACTTTGATAGCAAGGTCAGGTATAACTTAAGTGAAATTCTACAAACATCATCATTATTCTTTTTTTTTTTTTAATGGAGTTTTGCTCTGTTGTCCAAGCTGGAGGGCAGTGATGCCATTAGCAGAGATGGGGTTTCACCGTTTTGGCCATGCTGCTCTCAAACTCCTGACCTCAGGCGATTCCCCCACCCTCGGCCACCCAAAGTGCTAGGATCGCAGGCATGAACCACTGCGCCCAGCCATCATCATCATTATTCTTATTAATAATTATTATTTCTGTTGCTTTTGAGACACAAATACAGAGAAATTGTGTGCCCAGGTTTTCTTGTGCCCTAAGGGGAAAAAAAAATTTAAGCATGCCAAGTAAAAGAGTTATAACAAAATGAAGTCACCCAAGTTGCACTGCTTTCCAACACTATTTTTTTTAATTTTCCAAATATAAAAGTTTTCCAACTTAAAACCTAGTGCTTCTCAAAGTTTACCAATAAATGCAATTCACACAATATTCCTTTAAAATCAATTTATAAAAATATTTTCATAATCAGAACAATTGACGGATATCTGATTTTCTACAGGTAATTAAGGACAGCATGCATCAAAATAGCTGATATATTAACCTAGTTCCTTTTTCCCTTCAACAAATCTTAGCAAAGCTTAAACTGACAGTAAATAAGAAAGCATATACACCAAAAACAATCTGTTACAAACACAATTTACTCTAACCCCTGGAAGAAAAGCACCTTGACATTTATAACTACAGAACAAAAGGCTGGGTGGGCCCAGTGCCTCACACCTGTAATCCGGGCACTCTGGGAGGCCGAGGAGAGTGGACCACAAGGTCAAGAGATTGAGACCATCCTGACCAACATAGTGAAACCTTCCCTGTCTCTATTAAAAATACAAAAATTAGCTGGGCGTGGTGACACGCACCTGTAGTCCCAGCTACTCAGGAGACAGAAGCAAGAGGATCACCTGAACCCGGGAGGCAGAAGTTGCAGCAAGCCGAGATCTCACCACTGCACTCCAGCCTGGCAACAGAGTGAGACTCCATCTCAAAAAAAAAAAAAAAAAAAAAAAACCTATGGAATGAAAGCTTATCTAGAATTTAAGCTATCAGTTTTAAGTTTTGTGTCTGTAATTTCAAAACATTTCTTTTCCATTTCCCACCTTTCAGAATTTTGTGAAAATTAAATGTGTAAATCCTAGAACACATTTCACAAGTGCAAGGCTCTTCCTTCCTCACTTGCTAAACAATTCTCAAACACTGGGACATTGCTGCACTGTGGCCCACATGGGACATGACCAAGTCCTTCGGGGTCCAGCCCTGTCTCTTCACACCACCTTACAAGGCTGGAAGCCAGAGCTGGATGCATACCACACATAATGACTTCTCAGGGTAACTTCCCAAAAAAGCACAGTGACTGATTTATCAGGTTTTTCATGTGCTATTTTCCTATTTTCGTTTTTATTATCTTCTAGGTAATTGCAAGTGTGACTCATACTAAGCTTAAAGAATACTAACATTTGCCTCTTGTTTAAATTTACTGGAAGAGATATTTACTCTTTAAAAATAGCAAAAAATAAGTCAAAACTAATTTTTTTTCCTTTAGAATAAAGCACTTGCTGTCAACTACAACCTCAAGCTCATTCTATGAGTAGCAAATATTTACTGAAAGCCTGTTATGTACCAAGCACTGCTCTACATGCTCGGCATATGTTAGTGAGAACTCTCTTCCAGACAACCTTTCAATAAACTCTTAATTATAAAAAAAGTTACTATATGAAATGTCAAGAGCAACTTTGTAAAACTAAAAACAATAATTTTTTTTTTTTTTTGAGATGGAGTCTTGCTCTGTCACCCAGGCTGGAATGCAGTGCTGCAATCTCAGCTCACTGCAACCTCCACCTCTGGGGTTCAAGCGATTCTCCCACCTCAGCCTCCCGAGTAGCTGGGACTACAGGTGAGTGCTACATGCCGGGCTATGTGTTTTTGGGGTGGTTTTTTTTTTTTTGGTAAAGACAGGGTTTCACCATGTTGGCCAGCCTGGTCTCAAACTCCTGACCTCATGTGTGTGATCTGTCCCCCTCAGTGTCCCAAAGTGCTGGTATTACAGGTATAAGCCACTGTGCTGGCCTCAATTTACTTTAAAACAAAACTTTCTTAAAAAGGCTTACACTAAAGTCAGATAACCTAAATGTGCAAATTGAGTTTCAAAAGTATGGTGGTATAACCAAAACTCAGTAGTTTCAGGAGGATAGGATAATATAACAAAATCCCACAACCAAAGCCAAGAAAGAGTAAAACTTGCCACTAGCCAGGCATATTATCACAGCCAATAAGGCAGCTGGATTACAGAATGACAAAGCTGATACAATGTCTTTTTCCCCTTTCAAAGAGCCCTAAGTTTGTTGGAATCTCCCCTAGTACTTCCACTTTTGTGTAATAATTTTCTCACGATCATGAAATATTAACAATAAATTTCTTTGTGTTTACAATCATTAATACCACTAATACTTTAATTTACGAATTACTACATGTCTAATTTCAATTAAATGAGCTTTCCACGTAACCTGCCCTCACATACTTCTAGGTTTTCCTAGAAACCTGTAACAAGAGACTATATTTCAGGAAGAGAAACCTATAGCAAGAGATTATACTTCGGGAGGAGAAACCTCAATTGGGTTATCCTATACAACAGGTTCTACAAAGACGCTTTCATACACAGGTGTCCATTTTATCAGCAGGGAACTGGTTCCACGATCCCCGTGGACACCAAAACCCTCAGATGCTCAAGTGTTTTATATAAAATGACAGTCTTGTAAACATTAAATCATCTCCAGGTTATGTACACTACCTAGGACATTATAAATGCTACGTTAATAATCGTTATACTGTATTTTTTTTTAATTGGTTTCCCCCTCCTCCAATATTTTCACTCCAAGGTTGACTGAATACAAGGATGGGTAACCTTGGATAAGAAGGGCCAACTGTACTCTCACCTGGGAGCTTGACATTGCCCATCTCAGTTTACAGATAAGAAAACTAAGGCTAAGAGTGACAAAGTAGCGGCCAGGCGCGGTGGCTCAAGCCTGTAATCCCAGCACTTTGGGGGGCCGAGGCGGGTGGATCACGAGGTCAACAGATCGAGACCATCCTGGTCAACATGGTGAAACCCGTCTCTACTAAAAATACAAAACATTAGCTGGGCATGGTGGTGCGTGCCTGTAATCCCAACTACTCAGGAGGCTGAGGTGGGAGAATTGCCTAAACCCAGGAGGCGGAGGTTGCGGTGAGCCGAGATCGAGCCACTGCACTCCAGCCTGGGTAACAAGAGTGAAACTCCGTCTAAAAAAAAAAAAAAAAAAGGAAAAAAAAGAGTGACAAAGTAGCAACATAATAGGCAGGACTTAATTAAGTACAGGACTGACTGCAACCACTTAAGCAGATCCCAAGAAAAGCAAAGCTAGATTTCTGTATTTAAAGTGCCACCGCAAGTGTAGGAAGAATCACAATAGTAAAATAAAAAGTTAAATTCGCAGAAACTGCCACTGAAAGACTGGAAGGACAATGTTTAGAGAAGTGACAACATTTTGCTACAGGGAATCGAGACCCTGCCCAGTTCCCCGATAGCATGTTTTCTAAACCTCCGATACTGGTTAATGTGAATTCTCTAACCTAAACATTAAGTTGGGGGTACAGAAAAGCCACCGAATTTCTGGTCTCAGAAAGAAAAAGCAGAGAAAGCAGTGCGGCTGGGAGAAGAGGGCGGAGGGTTGGCCCATTTTATTTCTGCACGACTTTGCCTGATCACCTGCTGAGGATTCTAAGGCCTGATCCAGACCTACATGCGAGCCCTGGATGACAATCCCTAAAAGCAGAGCTCAGGCTGAAGCGGGTGCCAAGAAATCGGTTCACACCCCTGACAAATGGTCACCTGCACCACGAGCGACCTGAACCATTCTTCCTCACTGGAAAGAGGGCAAGGTCTGGAGTTCCACACGCGGGCTCCACCCTGCCCTGGGGGAGACCCGCGCGCCGCCTCCTCCCGGCCGTTACCGCGACCCGCAACGCCCAGCTCCACACATCCCGAACCCCCGAGCGGCCGAGGAAGGTAGGACTTGGGCGCGGAGGAGACGTCGGGCAGGAGCGAGGCCCCCACCCCCGGTCCAACCCTGTCTTCCCGGCCCCTCCCTCGGCCCGCGGCCGCCCCCCGCTCACCTCCAGGCGCAGGGAGGCCCCGCAGCCGCGCAGGAACTCGCGGATGTTGCTCAGGCACTCGCTCTCGCTCCGGGGCTCCGGATAGACCTGCAACACAGAGCACAAGCGCTGAGCGCAGTAGCCCGCGGCGGGGAAGCCGCGCACAAGGCCGAGCGACGCCCACGGCGCGCGCTCCCAACACAGCTGGCGACGCTTGGGAGGGCCCCCGGCGGCCTGGAGCGAGCCCGCCGCCGCCGCCGCCGCCGACCCGCTCGGCCGCTGCTTCTCCTCACCCTTTTTTCCTCCTCCTGTGCTGCACCAATCTCTGCCCCTTTCCGCACCAGGAAGTCAGCCTCGGTGCCGGAAGTGACGTCTTCAGACCGCGCCCCCGCCGGCCAGCGCAGGACGTCTTCCGGCTAAAGCCAGGTCTTCCCCGCAGCGGACGGAGCCTATGCCGGTTATCCCGCGACTTAGGTGGGCGCAGCCCGACGGTCGGCCCCACGCGCGGCCATTGCCGCCCCCTCCTGCCCAGTCTTCGGCCTCAGCCCCGGCCCCAGCCCCGCGGACGCAGCCTACTAGGCCTGACCCCACAAGAGGCCGCCTCCCTGCGTCAGGTTCTTGGCCTCGCCCCGCAGACACAGCGCACCCGCTCCGCTCCGCGTGCACATGCCGCCGCCTCTCGGCGCCTCATCCTCGGCCTTTCGCGAGTCAACGCAGCCCGGCCCAGAGGGGCCCCGGAGAACTCGGGCGGCTTGAGTAACCCCTGATTGTTGGAAGAGAACCTGGGATTTCTTCCCTTCCTTCAAGCCAAGGCTCATGGAGAGAGCAGTTATTATTCTAATGCGATGACTTAAAATAAGCAACATAAATTATGCTTGTTGGGATTAAGGTGCAGTGGTTTCTTTTTCCAAATATAAGCCCCGTACTTCAGGAATGATTAACCGAAGTAGACAGCTAACATGAAATCCAGTAAGTCAGCAGAGAAGAAATTGTATCCTATGGAGCCTCCACCACAGTTGAGGAGCGCAGGAAGGTGCCTGCAGACTGCCTGGTGCTTTAGTCCAAGGTAGAATTTGGAGAGCCATCAGCAACACGTGTAAGGTGTTTGGACCTTACCCACAGCAAGAAACTAAGGAAACCAGGAACGGTACCAATTACTAGAAAATTGTAAGAAGCCTGAGGTATACAAAAAGTTGTTTTTTAACTCTCGGATTATTTTACTGTAAGAAAATTTCTGTTCCAAGCTATATGTGAAGACATTAAGTGTTGACATTTAAACCAGTGCATCATCTAGAAGTCTAGCATTTGAGGACATTAAACACATTTTTGTCCTTCTGTACTGGAGAAGAAAAATCACATTTCACCAGGCTACTCTCAGGAATACTGTGGTTTCATTTCATGGTGCTCAGGTGTTTTAAAATTATACATCAAAACCAAGTGTTCAGAAATGCCAAAAGGGATGAAATGAGGCTTTTTTCTTTCTACAATTGAAAAATTCCTACAACCAAGTTCTGACATGTTTCCATCAAAATTGAACATTTTTTCAGTGGAATGGCAAAAGCAAAGCTACCTCCTAATCCATTTTTCTCTTCGCTTCAAAATAATTTTCAAGTTATGTATCACATATCTAGGCAATACCTAAATTTTTTCTTCTTAGTTTTAAATAGTTGCAAGGGATGTAATTTCTGCCATTCTGATGACATTTTTAAATTAAACTGTTGCATCCTTTATAAAAATCATATCCAGTAGAATCTAAATACAATAGGAACATAATGCCCATTTCTCCACCTAAAAAGTTTCCTAACAAGTCAGACATTAAATCTTTCTCCTTTAACTCATTTCTATTCAATTTCACCCAAAAAGTTATATCCTCATATAATCTATGCTTAAAACAAACTTATTTGACAAGGACCTCTACAAATGTAGTCAGTCATCATTCAAAGAGGCTACGAACTCAGCTACTTGCTAAGAAGTGTGTGTAACCAAAAATCAATTCTTGAAACACTTTCAGTCATATATGGACACATGCAGAACTGTGAAAACTTTGGATCACCTTGTGTATATTCCCAGCTGAGCTTGAACAAGGCCATGCTCTGCCTTCTTAAGTTCTTGTTTTTTTTTTGAGACAGAGTTTCACTGTTGTTACCCAGACTAGAGTGCAATGGCACAATCTCGGCTCACTGCAACCTCCACCTTCTGGGTTCAGGCAATTCTCCTGCCTCAGCCTCCCAAGTAGCTGGGACTACAGGCACGCACCACCATGCCCAGCTAATTTTTGTATTTTTAGTAGAGACAGGGTTTCACCTTGTTGACCAGGATGGTCTCGATCTCTTGACCTTGTGATCCACCCGCCTCAGTCTCCCAAAGTGCTGGGATTATAGGCGTGAGCCACCGTGCCCGGCCTGTTTTAGTTCTTACTGTGTAAACATACGTCCTCAGTCTACTTAGTGTCACATTTTTCAGACTTCTGTGCTTTTCCCATGGTGATTTCTCTGTTTCAAATGGCCCCCAAGCGTAGTGCTGAAATGCTGGCTAATGTCCCTAATTACAAGAAGGCTGTGATGTGTCATGTGTTAGATAAGCTTCATTCCGTCATGAGTTACAGTGCTGTTGGCGGTGAGTTCAATGTTAATGAATCAACAGTATGGTACATCCACAAAGAGGAAGTGGGGATCCGCTGATCCGTATGTGAGGCTGCCCCAGAAGGTGATAAAGTGGTATCTATAGTGCGTGATGAAGCTATGGAAAAGATGGAAAAGCAGCTAAATTTGTGGATGAGATGTCATTCATGAGATGACAATCAATAATTTAAAAAAAAGTGTAGTGGACAGTATTATGAGGCTGAAAGCTGAAGAAATTTACAGCCAAGTTACCCAAGGTCAGGAAAATGTTAAACCCTTCTCAGCTGGTCCAGGCTGGCTAGCACATTTTAAAAGGCAGTACAGCATGAAATCAAATTTTAAACTTGCAGGCAAGGCAGATTCTGCAGATAAGGGGGCTGCGGAAGAATTTTTAAAATGCCTGCTAAGTGTTATACATAAAAAGGGTTATGTTGAAGAGCAGGTTTTCAATGCTGATGAGACTGTCTTGTTTTATAAGAATGTTGGCAAACAAACCTATGTAATGCAAATGGCCATGCAAGCCCCTGGCTTTAAAGCATTCAGAGACCATGCAACCTTGCTATTGTGCACCAACACCAAGGGTGACTTTAAGTGCAAACCTCTAATGGTGTACAGAGCCCAAAACCCACAGCGCTTAGAGGAAGAAACCTGAACTGTGCCAGTCCGTTGGAGGTGGAACAGAAAAGCATGGATGGCATCTGAAATATTCTGGGATTGGTTCCACCACTGCTTCATTCCAGAAGTTGAACAGTATCTCCAGGGCAAAAACCTTGCTTTCTGGGTCTTACTAATTTTGGATAATGAATGCCGCAGTTCATTGCCACGAAGAACGTGAAAATGCTTACCCCAACATAGGAGTTTTTTTCATGCCCCCAATACGACATCTTGCATCTAGCCCCTCATTCAGGACATACAACTTTCAAGGCACACTACACGAGGGAACTCTATGTAAAGCTTGTGAGGTTCTTGACACCAACGAGGAAGCCACCATGATAGACTACTGGAAATCACTCACTATATGGATTGTTATTGATTATGTTGGCACAGCCTGGGACAGCATCAAGCAGGCTATTATCAATAACTGCTGGAAAAACGTTTTGCCAGACTGTGAAAACTTCAAGGCTTTGACGGGGTTACAGAAAATATTTTTTTAAATGTCAAAAACATGATGCATATTGCACGGTAAATAAGTGGAGAAGGTTTCAGCGACGTGAAGGAAGAAGAGATGGAGGAAATTTTGTTAGCGAAGGCAGTAGAAACCACAAAGATGGGGATGAGATGGCAAAACATGGCAGCAAAGTCAGCAATGAAAGTCACCAAGATTCCCTGTCACAGTGGCTAAAATACCCAAATGGAATTCTGCCTTGGAAAAAATTTTCAACGACATGGAAGAATGTGACCCTGTGCTTGAACACAGCCTCGCATTTTAGCACCTCACTTCCACTGCATTTATCGCTTAAAGATTTGAGGCAAAAAGCCAGGCAGACAAGGCCGAACCAATTTTTCTAGCCAGTTTGAGAGAGAGTTGCCAACACAATCAACAAGTTGCAAAAGACAAACTCCTAAGGTAGCTCTGCCAAATCACAATGTGCTGCACTTACTGACATCTTCCTCTTGTGCAGAGTAAGTTCCATCAGCCTCTGATTTTCACGGGGCAAGCTAAGATAGGTAGGGTAAACCACAGAGCACTGACCATCACACACCCTGCAGCTCCATCCACAGTAAGGTCTTAAGTAATGTGTTTATAAAACTTTAAATACTCACTCTTAATGCTTTCTTCAAGACTGTGTTTGTGATTACTGTACTACACAGTATGAAGTATGTTCACAATACTCTTTTATGTGAGTACTCTATATGTGTACTCTGTGCCTGTATGTACTTATGACTGAGAATTGAACTGGTACCATCAGAGGAGTTCACAATGCTGTAACGGAAACACAGTGTTTCATTATAAAGAAATACTGCATATAATTAATGAATTGTAAGAAACATATTTAAAAAGCTATCTTCAAAAATACACGTAAAACAGGTTATGTATTGATTGGTTGGCAAAATGTTATGGCCAGACTCTTAAAGGATCCTAACCCTCTATTCCTCCTAGGAGCAATGTTGCATGTGTCAGTAATTCAGTGATCAAGGTAACTTTCTAGAACATAATACCACAGATAATGGTAATTGACTCTACCGTCAAGAGTATTAAACCATAAGAATTTAATTGCTCTGATTTTTTTTCTGAATTGAGTTAACACAACTATTATGAGCACACAAATGATGGAAATAGTATGTTACAGTTTTTTAAAATTACATATAAAAAGCAAAATTTTATCTGGAAGTGTACTTCTTTTTTCTTTTTCTTTTTTTTTTCAGAGATGGTGGTCCACTACGTTGCCCAGGATGGTCTTGAACTCCTGGGCTCAAGCAGTCCACCCACCTCAGCCTCCCAAAGTACTGGGATTACAGGCGTGAGCCACCACACCCAGCCAGAAATGAATCTTTTTGATGAAATGGATGGGGCTTCTTTGGTTCATTAGTGTGTTCATCTGCCCATGAATGACCATCACTCTTTGTGAGGTATGGCCTCGCATCACTTCTTTTCCTATCTTGGGGGATTTTTATGCAAACCCTGAAAAACTTTGTTCACAAAAATAAATACATGAAAATGGAAGGAGTTTTGTTATGGTATAACTTAACTCTTTGAAGTCTTCTGAGCTACATAGCCAAAGTCCAGATATGGTCTATCATAATTTAAAAATGTTTTAAATCATTTATTAACAACTTGATTAGGTCTCCTTTGATTTCCGTGAAAGCTAAGAAGTGGAAACCCCTGAGTTGCGAAATTCCAGTCGTTAAAGTCATTGACTTCTTAACACCATGAATATTTCTAATTGTCTCTTTGTTACATGGCCTGGAAGTTTTCCATCTTGCAGCAGTGCACCTCAGGAAGATGATAGGTGAAAAGTCTGCCTTTCTGTATGAAGTGGGAGAATGGCCATTGTGAGAGGGAGATGGGGCGGCCAAGCAGCTTCATGTCTTCCATTGCTTCAGGCCCCTTCCAAGGCTGCTCAGTTTTAGGTGTGTGTATGTAAGTTGAGGGTCTGGAAATGGATTCCCTTAAAACCATCCTGTGCCTGCACATCCCTTGGAAAATATTTCTGTGCATGTACATGGGTACTGGTAGCAAGCTAGGTCAACGTACACTGTACCTAAAACACACCTCTTTGGAAAATCATAATGTCAAAGAGTCAAAACTTAGCTGTGTAACAAATATGTTGTGTCACATTCGACAGGTCACTTGACCCTTGTCCCTGATTTAAGGCTAACACTTATCTTTTTGCATAGAGCAGCTAAGAGGAGGAAATGGGTAATAAATTAATCCAGCAATATTGCGCTTAGACTCCGGGGCAGATGATGGCATAAGCACTGTGGATGCTAAGAGTGAAACCAGGAACTGCCCTCAGTGAAGCACAGCAGCTTGCACACAGCATGGCAAGTGTGGCCACACAGATGGGGACTCAGCACCACAGAAGCATGGCAGAGGCCAACCTAAATTCTGCAGAGATAGGGCAGGGCCAGAGGCTTAAACAGCTTCAAAGGTGACATCTGAGTTGGGCCTGGAAGGGTGAAGAGGCAGCTGGAACCACGTCTCAAAGGTATGTCATTTTAGCAGTCCAGGGTGTTCTCAAGGAGGCGAAGGAGAAAGGGGATCTGAGATCATAGGTGAAACCGGTGGAAAAATGTTTGGAATATTATGATACAGAGAAGACGCTTGAAAGTCCCTTTAATATTTCGCTAAAGAAGCCGAGGGAATGAATGTCAGTGAGCACTTGATAGTGTGTAACCTCTTTAGTCATTAGGGAAATGCAAGTTAAACCACAGGTAATATGGCATCCACCAGAATGGATCAGCAGAAAGGGCTGACAGTGTATCAAGTGTTGGCAACAATGTAAAGTAACTGCAATTCCCAGACAGGACGAATGGGAGTGTAAATGGTATGCTTGGAAAACTGGCAGTTTCCTGCAAAGTTAAACATACATCTACCCTAAGACCAGCAAGTCCTTTCCTAGGTATTTACCCAAGAGAGATGAAAGCACAGTCCACTGAAAGCCACGTACGACGATGTTGAGAGCTTTATTTACAATCACCAAAGACTTCACAATTCAAAGGGGCAGGGGGTCTCCTATTTCATGTCGTCTCTAGAAATATTCAGAAAACTCAGGCCTCAAATGACCAGCAACTCTGCCCAGTTCACTCTTTAGAAGTCCTGTGCCAAATTATCCACTGTAATAAACTCCAGGCTTTTCCATCAAGAACTCTAACCAGGCAGAGGCACAGACAGTCCCAGAATCAGAATTTTCCTTCAAAATGCAGCTTTTATACTTAATATTTGATAAGTGGTGTGTATCATGTGAAAATTTGCTACAAATTAATCACAAAGCAGCATTAGGTCAGACTCCAGAAGCATCCACAGCTGTCCAGTTTTCATCTCAACTTCCTACCAACTACTCAGGTCAAAAACAGTCATCTCTACCCTCAACCAAAGCAAAGAGCCAAATAAGATAGCTGCCACCACTCAGAATTTAAAGACTCTCAGACTTTGAAAGAGTGATTTAAAAAAAACCACTAGGGAAGGAAGAACAGGCAGTATCAACAAGGCAAATAATTAAATAGGCTCAATGTTACCTCAACAGTAGAAAATAGTCACATCTGGGAAGTATTCGCTCCCCAGGGAGATTCTGATGCTGCGTAGGTCTGAAGTACCGCCCGGGAGCCTAGTGTTAGCGTGCACGTGCTTAAAGTCTTCATCTGATTCCGATTTTCAGCCAGGTTTGGGAACCACTGGTATGGTATAGCTCAGTGTTTCTTAAACATCTACATGCATCAGAATCTCATGGAGTAACATAGATTCCGTAGGTGGGGCAGAACTCAAGACTTTGGATTTCTGACAAGTTCCCTGGAGATGTTTTCAGTTCCAGGACCATACTTAGAGAACCTAGTGTATATGTAGAGTGAATCTAGAAGTGTTCTGTTTTTTCCCACTTGGAGAATCATTCAGACTCCCAACCACAGAGCAAAGGTCACCCCAGGTCTTTGCCATCAATAACCTCATCACCCCAGCTACGAAAGATTACTTCCTCCTCTGAAGGCATATGGTTCTGTCCACAGCTAGACCTACAACATAGCTGGACCTGCTCGTGCACATCTTATCTCCCTCATTAAACATAAGCTCCCTAACTGCAGGACCAAAGATACCTCACATTAAATAGCAACTGTGCACTAAATGACCAAACCCACTTAGGTCACCAGATTCACTCATCACAGAGCAAGTGAAAGAAAGAAACTTAATACAGGTTCATAGAAAACATTTCAGGTAATTCTGGTATTTTACAGGTGAGAAAACAGGGCCTCAGAGAGCTGAAATGACGGGTCCAAAACTGTACAGCCTGTGTATTTCACTGACCTCTGAGGACTGCATCAACCAGGCTTCCCTGCTCTCTGGCTTCTGGTAGGGTTGAGCCAACAGGGGACCCTAGCAGGAAGCAGGGGTCTAGGGCGGTAAACGCTGGAGCTGGCTCACAGGGGACTGTGGGGGTCTCACCCCGTCATGCTGGTGCCTTGAAAACCCGGTGGAAGTACTTAATGGCACAGAAATCAGCGGGCAGTACACGCCAGGGCCCCCATCGCGGACAGCCAGGTATGAAACATTTACCAACATACCACAGGTGGAAGACCATGGCTCCTGTCAGGCAGGTCTCACTGGCTGGAGTAACCCCGCTTCCCCTGACCTTTCCCTTCGGGGCCAAGGGGAGTTAATGACTTTTCAGGGTGCTTCCACATCTCTTGTGGGTTGTCCTTATTCCTGCCCTCACTTCATGAATAGTCTCATCAACCACCTCTGTTTAGCATGCCATCTATCTGTTTTCTGCCTGGCCCCTAACCTGGAGAACTGCCTGGTGGCATCTAAAATTAGAACACAGTGTAATAGCAAACGATTGGAAACAATCTAGAGGACAGAGTAAATGAATTCTAATGCTTCCACAGACTGTCGCCAGTACCACACAGCCTTTAAAAAAGAGGCAGCTCTATATCCTCATACATTACAATCTCCAAGTTACATTTGGAGGGGTAGGGAACACGGTCAACAGTGTGGATACTATCTACCTTTTGTGTTTTTTAAAAAAAGCAAGAAGAAAACCTATGTAGGTGTTTAGAAATGCATGGAGCCATCTCTGCAAGCATATGCCAGACACTTAACGAGGGCTCCCCACAGGGAGACGGAGTTGGGCATGGAGGACAGGGGACGAGGGAAATTTGCTGTTCACTCTCTACTTGCTGTACCCTTTGAATGCTGTCCCATGGGCAAGGATTATTAAATACATTAGAGAAGACGACGACCACTCCCAATCTATTATCCCTCCCCTCAAGCCAGCGTGACTACCCTCTTACAAAATAGTTCTCAGACAGCTGGGCTGTCAGTGTGCTGGGGTCTCTATGGGGCAGATCTCCACCATGCCATGCCAAGGGGCAGTGGTAAGTTTCCTAAGTTCACCTTCTAAACGGCTGCTTAGCATCCAATGGTTCATCTAATTTTTAATTACACGGTAGTCGCTGCTTTATTCTAATTAAACTGCCGCTGTCTTCTGATCAGGAGTTATGCTCTTCCCCAGCTCTCTGGGCTCGATCCACAGTCAATAATGTTACATGGAGTGAAAATGTAGGTCAGTGGAGCTAACTTGGAAGTCTGCAGGACAGCTCTTCTTCCAAATCCATGAGAAAACATGAAGCAACAGGCAGGAATTTCAAGGATTTGAGTGTTAAATTCCAGATAAGTAAGCTGCTCCCCCAAAAACTCTTTAGCAATAATAAGCAAGTCGTTCACTGGAAGAAATTTAAGCCTTAAATAAAGCATGTTTCTCTTTTGCATTCCTTCTTCAACAAATCCCAAAGCCCAACTCTAAATGAAATGCTGCAGCCATCTGGGAATTGTCTCCGTGAGTATGGAACTGGCCAGATTACAAAGGGTAGTAATAGACACACGTGTACCAAACCTCCAGTTCCCAGCCTAAATTCAGATATGCCAGAGAAATGAAATGTCAAAGAGAGACCAGCAAGACTGCAGTGCTTCAGCTGACTCACGCATCCCGAGGCCTGGTTCTCACAAACTCCAAAAGCTGGTGGCAGCAGCCCCAAATTCATACCAATGCCAAAAATGGATAACAAAATATTTAAGGAGAAAACTTCATCAGATAACTGAGAATACATTTCTCCATTGAGTCGCATTTTGTTCTCCCGGTTATTAGATGAAAACATGGCGGTGTATTTGGGAAGCAGCATGTGCCCCACCACCCCTCAAGGTCAGGCTGTGGCGATGCAGACCCCCAGGAAGCAAGTGCAGCTGGGATGGGCACAGGTGACATCTTGCCACTTCCATGTGCCCTTGAAGGAGCTACGAACAAGAAAACTGACAGCAGTACTCACAAGACAACTGGAGTCGAGTCTTGGGGTCAGAGATGGTTCTTTCACCTGTTCACATGGAATAATCGTCTTTTCTCTTTCACCTTCATGCTTGTGACCTAAGGGAAACAGTCTATAAATTGTGGCATGGCGTTCTGTGAATTTGGAGCTGCTGATGACTTTCTTATCAGGCTCCTTTGCTCTGT